CCCACAGCCCCTGCCCCCCAGCCCTGCTGGTGCCCCTTACTCCCAACCCACAGACCCTGCCCCCCAACCCTGCTGCCCAAGCAATTCCCACATTGCATGTGTGCCCTCTCTCACACACACACATACACACACACACACACACACACACACACACACACACACTGTGTATCTTTACGTGGCTTGCTGGGGCATGTGCGGGGAGCATGTGACCCCCAACAGCTAGTCACCTTGCCCGCTGCTCCCAGCCCCAAGCAGTCCCAAGCAGCCAGCCTGGGAGAGCAGAGGAAGAGCAAAGAACCCGGACATTTCCTCTGATTTTAAAAATCCTCCCAGACACTACATAGGGGGTCAAAAAAGACGACGTGTCTGGGAAAACACAGACATATGGTAACCCTATTAGTAAATAGGAATTAGATGCCTACATTCCATTAATTTTTCACTGCACTTTGGGTGCCTTGCCACTGCCGGTGCTTTTAAAAATCTCTAGATTTGATAATAATAATATGTTTTTAAAACACCTCAAACAGTTCATCCATCCATCCAACAGGAAAAGTATGAGGATCATTGGAGTATAGTTTACTACCAAATTGAAGCGCTTGCATGGATTCTAGTGTGAGCAGTAGATTTCGGTATAAATAAAAAACATCTGAAAGACGAAAAATGTATTCTTGAATATCTATCAGCAAAACAATTTGAAGCTAGAATAATCAATATTAATTTAATCTAACCATTTCTGTAGCAAACCACTAACAATTCCAGTTTTGTTAATTCTCTCACTTCTGCTTGTAAAAGAATGTAGCCTTGATACCCAGGGGGTGGTTAATGAGTTATGAGAGGCAAGGATTTTTGCAGCGGTGATATCTTTTACTGGAACAACTGCATGGTTGGGAGAGGTTTTAGCAGCAGCATAGCTAGGGCAGGGCAAGCAGGCTACCAGTACTGGGTGCCAGCTAGGAGGGGGTACCAGAATGATGTCCCTCAGACTTACTACTGCTTGTCCATAGGGGCCAGACAGTGTAGCACTACACCAGAGGTAAGTGAAGTGAGCAGTATGGAGCTCCCTTTGCTTCCTACCCCCTCCTCTCCTGTCCCCTCCCCTCCACCCTTGAACCTTTGCCAGAGTAGGTATAGCCCTGTGCCCAATATATATGTACGGGCAGGAGAGGAAGTGAAAAGGACACTAGGGCCATGGGCCTGCCACTGCCTGAGTGGGGCTCACACTGCTGCCATTGATCAGAGGACAGTTGCTTCTGAAGATAAGTTGGATGTCACAGGGTTATTTGAAAGCCCGGAGCAGGAAGTTAGGGAAATTGGGAATATTCTTCTTGAAGTTTAATATTTTTTGAGTTCTGCACTGGGTATAGTCAGCTTTGAGGTTGGTGAGGTGGGTCATATTATAAATGAGTTGTAAAGCATTTTACCTAGGTCAATAATGGCTGGAGCTTATAATGTGAGGGCTTCCTGTTGAGTGCGTGAAATAACTTGGTGGAGATTCAGCAAAGTTTTAGGAGGAGTGTATCAACATCAAAAAAGCAGAAATGGCACTCACTAGCATTAATCTGATGAAAAAGGCCAAGGAAAGCAAGTAAAATTAACCTCTGGCAGAAAACCTATCCCTTGCTTAGTTCCATAAGAGCCTTTCACAAAAGCAAACTTTACGTTGCATGAGCACAAGAACAATGATATCTTCTCATTCCTAAAATCACTTCTTTTGATCAGGTCTGAGGCAGATAGGCAGATTGGTGTCAGGGGTTTGTTTTTTCTCTGCCCTACCAAACCTGTTCTGTGAGTAAAACTAGGTTTTCAGCCTCCAGGGTTGTTGGTTTAACCCAGTGGTTCTCAGCCTTTTTAGAGTCAAGGCACCTCTCCATAACTCTTCTGAATTTAGTGGTACCCTGGTTGAGAATCTCTGAGTTAGCATCTAGCTGTTTCCAGGAGATGGCTGCAGGGGCAGGACCTCACCCCACTGTGTCCTGCACTTTTTGCCTCCCCATACCTAGTCTATCCATGAAGAGGCAAGCAAAGTCTCCAACACCAAGGCTGCTCCTTTGGGCTCTCACTTGCCAGTGCCTGGAGCCACCTGACCTTAAGGCTCCTCCTGCTGGCCCTGGAAGTGCAGGAAAGAATGAGCTGAGCTGAAAACCATGGCTCCATGTGTCACAGCTGACTGCCTGCCTGTGGCAGAGTGTATTACTCAGAGCTTGGAGACTGTTGAGGGCTTGTGTGGGGAACAGTTTCAGAGAAGCAGCCATTGGCACCCTTTCTCCATGAGATACTGTTGTGGGAGGAGGGGGAACACTTATACTGTTGCACACGAGCCAGGCAGCACAGCACCCACAGCATCCTGTTTGCGAATCACTGGTCTAACTCTTTTCATGAATGCTGAATCCATCTTCAAAAGCTCTTTAGCTGTTTTCAGTCAACAAATTTTCTTTCCCTTTTTGCTGTTTGATATCAGATTTTGGACACAGGTATTTTGAAAGTGTGATATTGTATAAAATAGCCAACGTTGAAACTCTCAGCATAATTTTAAGATATAGCAAATGCATTAAATCATTTCAGTGCCAGATATAAACTGTTAACTAATATGAAGTTGTTGTTTTTTTTAACAGACATAAATTATTGAATAGGAAATGGCACAGCGAAGCCCCATCTTTCCAACACTTGGTCCTACTGAAAGGTATGGTTACAAAATTAAGAATCCAAATAGAGGTTTGCAGGGGCAAACCCAGAAGGGGTGCTTTTGTGGAATAGAGCTCTCTTAATTCTCTATTTTATTATAATGCTTTAACATGGAACATTTTGTTCTCAGTGCAAAAATCAATTGAAATAAATACTGAAGACATAGAGATTTCATAATCTAATGCATGAGCCAAATCATGAAGTCCTTGCTGAGTTTTTTTTTCAGTCCTTTCTCAAGCCTTCAACTGGGACTGAGGAAAAACAACAGACCTCAGGACTTGTACAAATGAAAACCTTCCAGGAGTAAGGAATATGTGTAAAAACTCAGGCCCAGCCAAACTGGCCTTCATTTACATCCTTCTTCAGCTCTGTTGACTTCAGTGGATTTACAACAAGATGTAAGTGAGAGCAGGTTTTGAAAGGATTTGGTTCCTGGGAATATCAAATAACATTTACAGAAAAAAAATGAAAGGAAGATATAAGGAGTTGATTTTCAAAGGTATGAAAGGAGTTGGGCATCTATATTAGCTTTATGCCTTTGAAAATCTTCCCCTAATGATTATAGCACATCTCTAAAAGATTTTATGTTTCAGTGGCTGGACGTCACAGCAGCCAGGAGCCCCCATTGCTTTACATGAAAACTGTGGGGTGTGGAGCTCCTGTGAAAAAAATGGCCAAAAACTAGGTCAGGTACATAAATGGAAACAGAATTCTTTTGAAATTTTGGCTTCTACACTGTGCAAAGCTTGTATTTAGTCTCTCCTGGATTTTAAAGCTTTAGACATACTTGTCCAGTTCCCAGAGAACAATCTTTTTGTATTGGTGCTCCAGGAGTAGTCTGTTTGGCAAAGAAAAGAATAGACAGCAATTTAAGATACTCCTTCTTAGTCTGTTTCTATTTAATGTACAATAGACACTTCTTACAGTTATTATGTTGAACAAGGATAGACATAAGGACGCACACATGTAACATAGTTTGCACACATGCTAGCCAAATGGAATAGAAACTGAATAAAAGTATTCTGAGTTCCTGTTCCCAGTCAAAGTGCTGTGTCTGTGTCCTAGTTTCTCCCCAAACATGTCAAAGTCCTATTAATAGGAGCACATGCCTCAAGAAGATACTTTAGAGCAGTGTCTCCCAACCTTTTTTTGATGTGACCCTAGATTGGCCACCAACAGAACCTCTTAACTTGGTGCTGTGGGGGCTGCTGGGAGTGGAGTGTGGCAGTGGCCGGGGGCTGGGGGGGAGCCGCCATTGCTTGCTTTGTGCACGGCACCCCTGCCCTGCCCTGCCCACCCTCCCGCCGCTCCTGGGCTGCACATGTGAGTGTGCATGTGCGTGTGTGTGCAGACCCTTCACAACCCTACTGAGGACCCTGATTTGCATTGTACCCCAAGGTTGGGAACCAATGCTTTAGAGGGAGTGGGAAGAAAGTCCTCATTTCTTTTTTCAAATACCACGTATCCTGCTCCTTTTAATTTGTAGATCAATCAAGTATTCTGAGAGTTAGTTTTCTTTCTGAGGGGACAGTATTTCCCAGTGCTTTCTGCTAGGGTAGCAACCCCATAACCATGACTGTGACTAAAAGCCACAATAGAGGTTTGAGTACATATTTTATAATAATAATACACGTGTTTGAATATTTTTTTCCTTTTCTTAGACGGATTCGAAATATACCACTCCATAGCCAGGCTTTGACAGCAGTTCCATTAGCATCTGCGAGTCTAGTGGATCAGCTAGAAGACCGAATTCTAAGCCATGAGAAAACAACCGCGGCCCTTGTGGAACACGCGTTTCGCATTAAGGAGGACATTGTTTCCACTCTGCATAGAATGCAGAACAAAGGGGGAGGAGATCGGTTGGCTAGGCAACTCTTAGAAGAACACATCCGAAACATAACTGCAATAGTGAGGCAGCTTAATCGGGACATTGAGGTATGCTATGGTCTTTCATAGGGTTAACACTGTCTAAACTACTGATTTTTTCTAAAGTAATAAAAAAATTAGCAAGATTTAGTAAGCAAAGTTATTGTGAGAGCTGAAGAGCTTCTGAGCTCTTTATACCTTCTAACAAAGGGTATGCAAATTGCATAATTCTTTTGGTGGCTTTAAAAATAGCACAGGATGCCAGCAGGAGTTTAAATATAAATCCCACACAATTCTTTGTGGTATTAATGTATTTTCTTTCAATGCAAAGCTAGAAAACCTAGGCAATAGGTAGGGTGGGGTGGCACCTTAAAGACTGTCTTGTTCAGAGAAGTACAAGGTTTTTTAGGCAACAACGTATTTTAGCAGATGCTAGGAATCAGGGGGCACTTGTGCCTCCTGAGTCTGGGGGGGTGGGCACAATTTGTGGGCAGGCCCGGGGGTGGGCCAAAAGCCCCATATCCACTCCTATACTTCTGTGCCGTGGCTTAGTGCCCCACCCCCCCATGCTGCCAGCCCATATGGCAAATAATATTGCCCTGTCCCGAGCGGTGCTGAGTCAAGGGCCGATTTTAGGGGGGGGTACATGCCCCCTGTGCCCTCCCTACCAGTCATCTGTGTTAGGAATGGACTAGCACAGGGGTGCTCAAATCCCAGTCTGTGGGCCAAATTCAGCCTGCAGAGCCATGGCATCCAGCCTATGGGGTCCCCATGGGTTGGAAAATTTGGCAGTGGGATAGCTATGGAAATTAATTCTGCTATCCCTCCCCTGCTGCCAAATTACCAACCCCCATGTGGATGGATTGTGCCTGGGCTGCCCCTGTGCAGCTGGATCAGGCCTGTCCCCCTTCGCCCTCCCATGTGGTAGAATTGAGGCTGAGCTGTCTCTGCCCCCCATGACTGGAATGGGCCCACCAGCCTGATCCAGCCCACAGACAGACTGGCACCATCCGTTTGGCCCATGGGGTAAAGCTTGAGTACCATGGGACTATCAGAAAGAAGCTACAAATATCGTTAGTCAGTGCAATGCTCACAGTGGCATAAGTAGGGTGGGGTGACTGGGGCAGCTGCCCTGGGTGCTGACTTGGGGAGGGGGCAGAGGACAGAATTGTGCTAGTGGCAGCAGCGGCAACCAGAAGTTGCCACAGACGTTGCCTGGCTGCACTGAACACTCATATCTAGGTCAGTGATTCTTCTGCATATGCACACTTAGCATGTGGGCACAGGATGCCTGGAACCCTTTCAAAGAGGGAACTTTTCACAAAGGGGTCAGCTGTACATTCTAGTTACGTGTGAACAAGCTCAGAATAATTCAAAGGGAGCAAAACCACTCCAACTTTAACACTCCTTCATCCAGGTTTAAAGTTTTGCTGCAGTTGAATCATTCTCAGCTCATTCGCACATACCAGTTATAACGTACCAGCTGCTGCCCTGTTGAAACATTCCCCTTTTGAAAAGGCTCCAAAAGTTAGTGTGTAAATACACCTCCTAAATACACTTTAAATTCCAAGAGTTTAGGTGTACAAGCCACTTTAGACCAGTTTAAACTTCCTGGAATGATTCAAAAGCACATTAGAAAAATCAAATACTATTTGGAGCTGGTCCTTCTTGAACTAGTTCAATGTTGTGTGCAGACAGAGCATTCCATGCTAGTGTCGGTCCTCCAGGCATCCCATGCATCACTGCTCCTCACCCCCAAAAAACCATGCAGGGCAGAGGGGCTTCTCTACTGCCCTTTAGCTCTATTGCTAACAGAAACCAGTCTGCAGGGGTGGGGAAGCAGAAAGCTTCTGTGTCAGTTTGACTTCCCTACTAGGGACCTTGGGTGGGGATCCTAGGTTTATTTAGAGGGGTGGATTAACTAGGTGTATGTGTGGTGGGAAGGAGTTGTAGCCCTTTGCCTAGGTGAATGGGTGGTTGTGCCTGTATCAGTAACCACCAGCAATTGCTGGGTGGGGTGGGAGGAAAGAGCTATTGCACAATGGGCACTTAGCAGAATAGAATGGCTATCAATTCCATGCATGTGAAGCGAATTAGCCCATTAACTGTTAATTGCTCCTACCCTCTGTGCTGCACTCTTGCAGCAGCCCTGCCAGGCAGGTGCAGGTTCCACTCTGTATACATATCTCTGAGCAATTGCTGGCAATGCAGGGTAGTTGAGTGGTTAAAAAAGCTAGCAGGTTTGAGGAAGGGGCGGAGCACACCAGCACCCTGGGAACCACAAGCAGGGGGCCACAAAGCCCCTCAGCACTTGGCAACCCCTCCACTCTAGTCCCCTGCCCCAGTCAAGATCTTCCCTCTAGAGCAGGGATGGGCAGAGGGCCACTTAGGGAGTTTTGATGAGCTATTGTGGGCCAGGTCAGCACCCCCACCTCCTCTCCAAAACTCCCTAAATGGCTCTGCCCTGCACATATCTGGGTGGATGGGATGGAGCCACAGGATGACGAGGAGTGACATCTGGGAGCCGGACAGATGGGTGGGGCTGGGATTAGGATCTCTGGGCAGTGACAGTGCAGGGACAGTGTCTGAGGCAGAGACATGACCTGCTCTCGGCACACCCCTGCAAACAGTGCCAGTTCTGTGGGCAGGGGTATGTGGGGAGTGGATTGTGGCTCTGCCCTGGGCCCTAGGCCTATGCTTATCACTGCCCAGCAATCCCAGGGGCTTTATGAAGACTGGCCTGGGACCTGCATGGGCAGGGGGCAGCATCCAGGAGTGGGATGGGAGGAGGGACCAGGGATGGAATTGGGATTGTGGGGTGCTGACAGTGCAGGGCTGGGGCCTGGGACAGAGCCACGATCTGCACCCTGCATGCCCCTGCTTGCAGAATTGGTGCCTGTTGCAGGGACGTGTGGCTTCATGGCTATGCCCTGGGCCTCAGCCCTGCATTGTCACCACCCCGTGATCTCAATCCCAATCCCAATCCCAGCCCTGGCACAATCTCTGCCCACCCATCCCAATCCGGGATGCTGCTCCCTGCCTACCTGCATCCCCATCCCATCTGTCCGGCTGCCTGTGCAAGTCCTGGGCCAGTCTCCATGGAGACTCTGCCTGCCCGCTTTGTCTGCTGCCCCCAATGGTCAGGTGGAGTGTCCAGGCAATGGGGCCAGGTCCAGCGGCATCAGTGGAAATTGGCAGCAGCAGCTGGAAGAAGTTGCCACTGTAGGGGCTGCTGCAAAGTGAGTCTGGCTCCCATGCCACCCTAGCCCCGCTGTGTACCAGGGGGTGATAGGACCAGCTGCACATGCCACACCCCAGGCTGCCCCCCATGCCTGGGCTGGGCAGGGCCAAAGGATCCACCGTGGGCCAGACAAAATCCCCTGGCAGGCCAGATCCGGTGCAGGGGGCATATTTTGCCCACCCTTGCTCTAAAGAAATCTTGGACAAACTCTGGGCAGTGACCTCTGGAAGGCATGATGGTCTGGGTACTCTATTGCTCTCTGGTGGCATTTTGGTAGCAATACAGTCCCTAAATGATGAGGGCTCTGCTCAGAACATTTAGCCATGTAAGTTGTTCTGTCCAGTGCCATTCTCGAAACGGTTCAAGTGTTATGTCTGTTACCTCTGCCCCTCACTCCCTTTTGCTTCCAACATAACACCCCCTTCCAGAAGTTGCTTAAACAAACAGCTTCAAGTCTGGTATCTTAGAAATTAACAGAATAAGGGATTTGGTGGAAAATAAGGAAGTGTAGTTAATATTTGAGGGTCCAATTCTGCTGCTCATCTATACCTTGCATTTTAACTGAATTTGAGAGTTTTATATGTTAATTGGCCCCTAAAAATAAGAAGCCATAAATGAATATTGTGTTCCTGTTTTAGCATATTCCTAAACACAGTTGTTATTAAAAGTGTGGTTATGCTTGAATTGTATTTAAAATATGATGAATGACTAACTCAACATATAGTTAGTGGCCTGTTGAATTCTTTTTGTACATTAATGTTTTATAGACACTTCAGGAACAAATACGTGTCAGAGATAACCTCAGCTATGGAACCAATTCTACCCTGAAGAGTTTGGAAATGCGGCAACTCTCTGGTTTGGGAGACCTTCGGGGGAGGGTTGCAAGGTAAGTGCCAATTTTGGGGATATTTTGATGCTGATTTTCTATTAATCTTACAGCATGCACTTCATTTTCAGTGGCAATGGGCCAAATTCAGCTTTGGCCTTATTCCCAGAATGAATTTGGTCCTGTAGTTTCAAGAAAATGCACTTGCGTTCAAGTATCAAATATTAGAGATAATTACATCTCTCTTAATTCTGGTAATTAAGTCTGAACAAATGAACTTAAATTTGAAAAATGTTTGAGTTTTGTTCAGGTTGAAAAGGCTTTCTTTTTGGAACCATCTCATTAGCACACCTTCTTAAAATGCCCTGGAACACTTCAGTCTCCAGAGAGCACATTAAATATTGTTTTAATTTTGTATGCATTTTAAGGAGGAAAAATAAATCACATAAATTATTAAAAAATAAGAAATTATTAAAAAATAACAGTTGCTTGTTATTCCTGGGGTTTAAAAATGAGTGGCAGCACAGAGTCACAAAGGTTCTGCAAATTCATAATACCATGAATTATACTTGTGCAGTTTCATAGCCTTTAGATTATGTACTCAATAACACCTGCATCCAGGTAATGTGATTGTACAAGTATTGGTGACAACATACTCTGAAATTTCTGGGATGACAAATGTGTCCTTAACTTCACTGCAGGTTCTTTGACTAACAGCTTCAGTGTAAATGCACCATGGATGAATTTGTTCCATCATCTGGATTTTTTGTGGACTTTTTATTAGCATCACTATTCTTTGCTGGATCAGTTTTGCTACATGATTATCATAAATCTCTTTTGATTTATTGATACCTTCAATTGCCTGGAAAAATCTAGCTGATACGGTGGAAGGTTAAAAGCTTTTGTAAGATTTCCTAATTGTCTCTCTCGAACAGTTCAAAGTTTCCATGAAGAGTTGTTAGAGCAGTTTCCAGGGATTAGAGGATTGATTTTTTTCATTTTTTACAGTGAGTACCCTTAAGTATAACAGGAATGAATCAAATGTATACTTAATTTGTTTTTTCAAGTCAGATAATCTGTTGAAAATATGTTTACAGTTATATAGGTCAATAATCAGTGATCACTGAAGAATCCCCTTAAAATTCATTGGTATGAGTTTTCCTGTATAGCTTTCTTTTCATATAAAGTGTTCACAATGAGATTCTACAAAACCTTCAGACAGGTTCTATGTTTGAAGTTCAATTAGCGTTAGTTTGTGGAACACTCATTTATGTTGGTGAAGGCCTTTTCATGCCGTTGATTTTAATTGGATAATTCATGTAAACGAACATTGGCCAACATATGGTCTACAGTCACGGTGGGGGACAATGGTAATCTATCAATATTTACATCTCTATTTCTTTTTTACATGTCTACTAAGAGAACCTAAGTTGTACTGCTTCAGGTCCTGTTTCCTTGATGATCATAACAATATGACAGTGATTATACATAATAAAATGTTTCAGGTTGGTTGTCAGTATGTCTTGAAGACTAGAAATCCGTATTTGTTACTCACAGAAAATCAGTTTATTTTTGCTTAATTGTTATTTTTTAATCGGATACTTATCTACCATGCATTTTGTATAATAAAATCTTCCCCTGTGAGGGGAGGTAAAATTGCTTTATTTGTAATGTGCTGAATTCAGTTAGAACATTGTTCTGAGAGAGGGATTTAGCTGCCTTCAGCTACAAGCATATTTAGCTTAAAAATTATTGTAATAGGTGGCGCTTCTATCTTTCTCTGCTTTTTCCCCCCATGGTATCATAGGTGTTTTGGGGCTGTTTTATGGTTGTGATGTGCAGGAAGGACCAGACTGGATGTTGTTGTGGGCTGCTTTGGATACCTGTTTATTATGTTGTTGCCTGTAATTGCAGGGAACTAGAAATAATGGCCTGGGAGGTCCTGTCCAGTTCTATGTTCCTATTATAAATCCATCATTATTATTTAGTTTCTAGAAGCCTCAATTAAGGTTGTCCCAGGGGTTGTATCAATGCATACTGAGAAACAATTACTGAATGCTATGTTCTGCAGTTATGAAATGCTGAAGCATATAATTTCATTCTGACAGTTCCACTAAAAAAATCAAGGAGTGAGACTACCTTGCTGGCTTTCTAATGATATTTTATAGTTAGATTCTGTAAAATTGCACGTTAATCCCAGCTATTTACTGCCTATCTAAATCCTGCTCCCCCCCGGTTTAGGTTTAGGTTGATACCCTAGATGTGAATAACATATCTAGTCTTATCTTTATGATGGGATAAACTAAACTGTCAGAGCTGAATAACCCGCAATGGAGACTTGATTCCAGATTACTACTGTTGCTTCAGGTCCATCTATACTTTGTATGAAATTGTGAGATTATTCAGCATGTGGAATGCTATACAAATGTATCACAAACTGTCAACATTACTAAATAATCATAACTTTTAGGCTTAGTGAAACTTTTTTGAAATATGTAAGAACATTAGAATAGTTACAGTTTCATTTAAAAATGAAGCCATCTAGTACAGCATCTTGTCTATGAAATTACTGATTCTATACATTTCCAGCATGCCACTACAAGTCTTGGGTATACTGCACAGGATTTAGAATCATAGAATCATAGAAAATGAGGGTTGGAAGGGCCCTGAGGAGGTTATTTAGTCCACCCCCCTGCTCAAAGCAGGACCACCCTCAACTAGATCATCCTAGCCAAGGCTTTGTCTATCCAGGTCTTAAAAACCTCCAAACCACAACCTCCCTGGGTAACCTGTTCCAGTGTTTTACTATCGTTCTAGTGAGAAAATGCTTCCTAATATCTAACATAAACTTCCCTTCCTGCAACTTGTGACCATTGCTCCTTGTTCTGTCATCTGTCACCACTGAGAACAGTCTAGCTCCACCCTCTTTTGAACCCCACTTCAGGTAGTCAAAGGCTGTGATTAAATCCTCTCCGTCTTCTCGTCTCTAGACTAAATACGCCCATTTCCCTCAGCCTCTCCTCAGAAGTCATGTGCCCCAGCCCCAGAACCATTTTTGTTTCCCTCCACTGGAGTTTCTCCAATTTGTCCACATCCTTTCTGTAGTGGGGGGCCCGAAACTGAACACAGTACTCCAGATGTGGCCTCCCCAGTGCTCAATAGAGGGGAATAATCACTTCATCCCTGCATACCCAAGCAGTACTCTTATACTCCTCTGTAGTTGTTTGTCCAAGTTTCCATTTCTTACAAGCTTCCTTTTTGTGATTTAGTTTACTGAAGAATTCCCTGTTAAGCCAAGCTGATTTTCTGTTATACTTGCTAGTCTTCTTGCAGATCAGGATGGTTTGTTCTTACACTCTCAGTAAGGCTTCTTTAAGGTACAGCCAGCTTTCCTGGACTCTTCTCCCCCTCAGACTGCCTTCCCAGGGGATCCTCCCCATGTGTCCCCTGAGCGAGTCCAAGTCTGCTTTTCTGAAGTCCAAGGGCCTTACTCTGATGCTCTCCCTCCTTCCTTTCCTCAGAATCCTGAACTCAGTCATTTCATGGTTGCTGCTGCCCAAGTTGCCATCTGCTAGTACATTAAACAACAATTATTCCCTGTTTGTGAGCAACAGGTCAAGAAGAGCATAGTAGGGGTGTGTGAAGCAGGCCCTATTCAATTCAGATTTGGATTCGGCCCGAATCGGGGACAGTGGTTCAATTTGTTGACTTGGATCACTGTCCCTGGTTCGATTCAGCTGAATCTGTCTTTGAAGATTCAGCGTTGATTTGAAGAATCAGTGATTCAGACTCAGACACAGCTTAAAATTTTTTTCCCACATACCTTGAGGTACCAGTGTGGCTCATGAATGCTGTGATACTGGGGCGGATGGAGCATCTCAAAGGAATGAGGGGTGGGGGGGCCACCCACGTGCTCGTCAGTGAGCCTGAAAGTGGACCAGAAGTACTTCCAGTCCACTTCTGGGTCCACCAGGGAGCGCACGGGGGCCCTTCCAGACCTTGTGGCTCAGTGATCAGCCGTGGGGGGACCCCGGGTGCCCCCCCAGACCCAGGAGGCACCAGTTGCTGAGCCGAAGGGGGCGGGCCACACAGTGTGCTCTCCGGTGGACCTGGAAGTGGACCAGAAGTGCTTCTGGTCCACTTCTGGGTATGCTGAGTGTGCTGGGGATGCCCCCCCCACCCCGTGCTTGTGTGGGATGCTCTATCTGCCACAGCATTGCAGCATTCACGAGCTCCATGCTACCTAGAGGTATGTAGAAAAACCATTTAAAGCTGTGTCTGTCTGAATCACCAAATCTTTCTGAATCCAATTGGAGGGTTCTGATTCAATTTGGAGAGATTAGAGGGTCCTCTGATTCAATTTGGATTCAGAGATTCGGCTACCAAATCGGGCCGAATCCCCGTTGAATTGAATCACGGACTGAAGCTTTGCACAACCCTAGAGCACAGCCCTTAATTGGCTGTCCTAGCACTTGTACCAGGAAATTGTCCCCAAGACTCTCCAAAAACTTCCTGCATTGCTGCACACAGCTGTATTGCCTTCCCAGCATATGTTAGTGTGATTGAAGTTCCCCATGAGAACGAAGGCCTGTGGTTAGGAAACTTCCATCACCTGTTTGAAGAAAGCCTCATCCACCACTTCCTCCTCGTCTGGTGGTCTATAGCAGACCCCCACCACAACATTAGCCTTGTTGCTCTCCCCTCTGACCTTAACCCAGAGACTTTCCACAGGCCTATCTCCAGTTTCATACTGGAGCTCTGAGCAATCATATAGCTCTTTTACATAAAGTGCAACTCCTTCTCCTCTCCCCTGCTGTCCTTCCTGAGCAGTTTGTACCAATCCATGACTGTGCTGCAGTCATGTGAGCTCCCACCAAGTCTCTGTTATTCCAATCACATCATAGTTCTGTGACTGTGCGAGGACTTCCAATTCTTCCTGCTTGTTTCCCAGGCTCCGTGCATTTGTGTACAGGCACCTAAGGTGTAACTAGTTGATTGTCCTCATTTCTCAGGAAGAATGAGAATACCTCCCCTGTTGCCCCCTCCTGCTTTCTCTTCCT